TCTGGGTAAACCCTCTGGCATGAGGCGCTCTGATTCACAGCAGTCATCTAAGTGCTTCAGTGGAGGTGGACATGTGCTAATACCAGTCATCACACAGCACCTACTATGTGCTGTGTTTACCTCCATGAGTCTAATACCAGCCAGCGCTTACACAGCACCTACTATGTGGTGGGTTCTGTTCTAAGCACCTTCCATGCACTCAATAAATAATGCCCGTGACAACTCTATGAGAAAAGTGCCAAAGCTGCTTGGGTGTCCTTTCTCACAATAGCGGGTTAGTGATGGGATGTCATTGTGGGTACTCTCCAGCGCACTGTGCGGCAGGAGGGTGTTGTCCGTGCTGCGTCTTCCTCACTTGGAACCAGGTCCTCGGTGCTGGCATTGTGCCATGTTCTTATTCGTTACCTGCACAAAAATCCGTAGGACAACCAAAGCCAACATTTCACATCATACCTTTTTTATGTTTACTACATGTGGTGAACTCCAAGAGTTTCCCTCCCCTTCTCGTTAGTTAAAAGTTGCTTGAGATGCAGACCCTCTCTATTGATATTTCCACTGTGGGTCACAACCGGCCACGTGCAACCCTGCTCTGCAGATCCCCACCCCCCATTCTTTAGCTCCTACTCCCCCTGTTTAAAGAAAACAGATGTGTACTTATTTCACTTTTTGTTATAGTTTCTTGTTTGATATTGGGTATCACGGAGAACTACAAAGGAACAAACACATTTCGAAGTTCTCTCTAGGAATGAGTTTGTGTACACGTACGTATGCAAGCCTGCGCATGAGTATGGTTGTGGCCTGTGCATGTGTGTGTGGCTGGTCGACCAGGTCTTCATTTTTGCTGAGTTTGAAGTTTAGAGCCTGGGCTTTTGTAAGTAGGTTTTCCTGACCCACAAAGGCTAGCTGCTCAGTGTTGGGAAAGACAGGTTCAGGTGAGGGCTGTGTTGGAGGGTGCCTGCCTTTCCTCCTGGGGCTGGTTGTCTTAAGCAGCCAGTGATGTCTGCCGCAACCTTTTGCAGTGAGTGTTGAGGATCTGAAGAAGGGGCTGTGCACAAATGAAAACACTAGACGAGAAATATGAGTTTAGAAAGCATGGGAAGGCCAGGTGGAAACCTCTCTCTAGAGGAGAAGCTCACTTCTGGCCGGTCTGCTTTTTGTTTACTTGAATGCACATTTGTCCTTAGCAATGCAAACAGGCATATCCACAGTAAAGTTTGGTGAACGGTAAAAGGATTATCAGGTTAGGAAATTGCCTTCAGCCATTGAGGCCACAGCAGAGCATTATTATGCTGATTTTCAGCCTTGCTGAGTATCAAAGTGCGTTGGCCTTCCAATGGGTCTTTTTGCATTAATGCTAACTACTGTTGGTTTTAGCCTCCAGCAGATGTCCAAGGTCATGATAACAGCAACAGTGAGGCCTGCCCTTTAGTGAAGGCCCACTGCGAGCTCAGCTCCGTGTCAGACACCCTCTGCATCGTGTACTGTATCCCCTCACAGCCCGTGACCTGTCAGCGAGCTGCTTCTGTTCATTGAGCACGTGTGTGCGGGGCACAGGCTCAACCCTCTACCTGCCACATTGTTAAATGTTCTATACCTACAGGAAGGTATCACTGTCCCTATTTTACAGGGGGAGAAACTGCGGCTCACAGGGGTTAAGAAACTGATTCTGGCTGTGCAGTTCACGAGCAAGTCTCAGGTTCTAGTGTGATCATCCCTCATAGCTTCGCTTTCCTGCTAAGAGATGGGGGCTGACATCTTGTGGGTTTGGGCTGACCAACATTTCCTCTCCCTAAACCATGGTATTGAAGTCACCTTGCTGTCATTAAAGGGAAAACTACCCTCACCCACATTTATTTATTTGTTTCATCTTACAGTTATTTTTTCCACAAAAATAATTTCCCCTCAACAGCACAAACGACGCAGCTCCCTGGTGTGAAACCATGATGATGCAGGGACTCCGGTGGATGCTGAGTCTCCGGAGGACGGCACAGAGGGGGTGGAGGTCTCATGTGCTGTTGTGCTTCCCCTTCCTGTCCCTTTAAACTATTAGAGCATATCAAAGAGCCTCCACTCCCTCGAGGACTATTCCAGCCGCTCACAGTTTTGGGTCATTCCTTCCCCTGTGTTGGTTGTTTTATTTATTTTTTTAGGTGGGGGTGGGTGGTGGTATAGATAGTTGAGGTAAAAGTTTTATTTTTGTATTTTATGCTAAATTTAACAAATAAATGAGGCTCTAACATCTCTCGGGCGAAGGTATCTTAATTTTTATTTATTTATTTATGTTTTTAATCCTCACCCAAGGATATTTTTCCATTAATTTTTTAAAATATATTTTTATTGATTGCAGAGATGGAGAGAGAGACAGAAATATCAATGATGAGAGAGAATCATGGATCGGCTACCTCCTGCACACCCCCAACTGAGCACCAAGACCGCAACCCAGGCATGTGCCGCTGAGAGCCAGCAATGAGCATGTGCCCTTCATTGGAATCGAACTTGGGATCCCTTCAGTCTTCAAGCTGACACTCTATCCACTGAGTCAAATCATCTAGGCCCTAGCTGCTAGGGCATCCATTGATATTTTTTTTTTTTTTTTAGAGAGAGAGAGTGGAGGAGAGGGAGAGAGAAACATTGATGTGAGACAAATCAATTGGTTGCCTCCCGCACACACCCTGCCTGGGGCTGGGCATTGAGCCTGCAATGGAGGTATGTGCCCTTGACTGGGAATCGAACTCTTGACTCTTCAGTCCTAGGGCCAACCCTCTAACCACTGAGCAAACTGGCCAGGGCCATCTTAATTTTTAGAACTTAGAGCAGTGACCACTCTGCTGGCCTTCAACAAAGCATGATACTGGGAGCCGACACACATGGTGTGCATTATGCAGATCAGCTACAACGCCAGCATTTGGGCTGATGCAAACTTTCCAAATCAAGTGTTTTTGCCAAAAGTGACAAACCTCCTTTCCCAGAGCATATCAGATGTTTACGGGGACGGGGGCCTCCTGCCATTCCTTCCCTGCCAGATCGTTCCTGCCAGGCCAGTGGTTTCTGCTACTACCCCTTCTTCCCTCGAGGTGTAATCTTCGCCTCCCACATGGGCTGTTGTTGTTTTTTTGTTTGTTTTTAACTGCACCCCAGGGATTAAGCCTCAAACAGTTCCTTTCTTTGAGAAGTCTTGGCTGGCCCGCCAAGACCAGGGCAGCCTCGGAGACCTCTCTTAAAAGGATGCAGCCATGTCCATTTATATCTCTGCAAAGCCCTCGCACATGTGAAAACTGCCTGCGCAAACATGTGTCAGAGCGGGTTTTCTTAGGCTTCAAAGCTGCATTTCTTGGCCAGAAGGAAAGTGGAATCTGCATACGTTCGAGTCTGAAACCTGAGAGAATCTTTCCTTGATCAATAGCTTGTTGGTTTAGTTCAGTCACATCGTCAATATTGTCGGCTCCAATTAAATGAGCATTTCCCCTGGACGCCCCTGCCTGGCCCCGGTGCCTTGTATTCAGAGCTGGCCATGGTGGCGTTTCAGGGTAACGCAGGTGGCGAGTCAAATTAGGGAGAACCAGCAGGTTAGAGGAGCATGTCCATTGTGATCCGTGCTGCTGGCTTCCAGGGGTAAGGGAAGAAAACCGTGTTCTGAGCAGAGACTTAAACAGAAACCTGCATTTTCTTCTCACTTCTCCCTGATCAGGGTTCTTTTCAGACTGTTTTGAGCTGGAATCCTTGATTATGTTAAGGAGACAACCTGGATGACACATTCTAAGATTATTTTTCTTTTCTTTTAAAAAAATTATCTTTACTGTTGAAGGTATTACAGATGTCCCCCCTTTCCCCCTCCATCCCACCCCCTCCCCAGGCCTTCACCACACTATTGTCTGTGGCCAGGGGTTATGCATATACTAGTATGTATATAAGTTCTTTGGTTGATTTCTCCCCACTCAGCCCCTCACCCCTGCCTTTCTTCTGAGATTCCTCAGTCTGTTCCATGCTTCTGTGTCTCTGGATCTGTTTTGTTCAACAGTTTGGTTTGCTCATTGGATTCCGCATATGAGTGAGATCGTGCGATATAAGATTCTTTTTCTTATAAGATAGAGAATCTTTTACAAATGGTTCTGAGGGCTTGTATGTGTGAACCTTTTTGGGAAATTCTGAAAGAGCCATCAAAGCCTTAACTAAGTTATTTCTTTTTATACAAATCAAAATGGTATGGGCTGAGGGCCTAAGCAGTGGAGGGAGCACGGCATGGCTGCCTGTTGGTTTTGCTGGCATTGAGCACACTGTTTTGACCTTTGGTTAGTTGGTTGGTGTTTGAATGACAGACCTTTCTTATGTAGGCAGTGATATTCATGACCCAGGTCACAGGGATGGGCAGGAGGAACCAAGTGATTAGTCCTGAAGGAGTGATACCCAGCAGACAAAAGGAAACACATAGATGTGGAGTTGGACCCCAGATCATTCTATCTTGTGAACCTCATAGGTGAGATGTTTGGGGGACAGGTGTGTATGGAGAGCTGAATGGATATTACTGGGCTTTTAGGGGTCTGGGTGTTGGATTATTTAAAATCAGAGCCTCAATGTGTCTAGACTAGAGAGAAAGATGTTGATCACTGAAGAAAGTCTTTAGATGTTGAAGCCCAGTGGCTCGGGAGTAGCACCCGTTCCAGCCCACCATTATAACAGAGAGAGACCAGGAAGGAGGTCTCTTAACCAACGAAAACTGGCACCTTATTTTCCTGACGGAAGAGTCGTTGAAGTGCTTTCATTTCTAGTCATTTTCACGGGAGGTGGAGGTGAGTGTATGAACTGAGGTGGTGGTATAGGGCCTTGACCTCACAAGGCTGAGCCAGATGGCTTGGTTGTCTCCTGCTCTGCTGTGATGTCACCCGAGTGGGCGCACTTCATGATGTGGGCCTGTTTCACAGTCATCCTTGCACTGAGCCGAGGTGTTGGAATGAGCTTTAAGAAGAGAAATGCCATAGCTTTGCTGTTTCTGTAGGAGTTTGTGATCCACACACCATGTGAAGATGCTAAAAAGATGTACATCAGAAATGGCATGCACAGGAACTACGCTGTGGTCTTTGCCCAGCTCACTGTGGTTGGACGGTGTTAAGGTTGGTCATCACAGAAAATGAGAATGATTCTCCTCACCATCACTGCTCCCCAGTGAGCACTTGACCCTGAAAACACAAGCACAGTGCTGTATTTGTCCTATATAATAAAAGCCTAATATGCTAAGTGTCCAGTCGTCCCAGTCATCCGTTCAACCAAAGTGTAATATGCTAATGCTCAACCGATTGCTATGACATGCACTGACCATCAGGGGCAGACGCTCGGACTGGTAGGTTAGCTTGCTGCTGGGGTCTGGCCAATTGGGACTGAGCGAGATAGGCCAGACACACCCTGGAGCCATCCCCAGGCCTCTCCCTGGCTGGCCAACCTGCATCCCTCCCTGGCCCCAATCTTGCACTAGTGGGGTCCCTTGGCCTGACCTGCACCCTCTTGCAATCCAGGAACCCTTGGGGGATGTCGGAGAGCAGGTTTCAGCCCAAACTTGCAGGGACCCCACTGGTGGATGAATTTGTGCACTGGGACTCTAGTCTTGTAATATTTATGATGATAAAATTGACCAGACATTTAGATGTTATACACTGTTACCTGTGATCAACTGTGTCTTGCCCCCAGAAGTTGTAAAGCTTTATTCCTATCTTTTTTTTTCTTAATCGTCACCTAAGGATATGTTTATTGATTTTTTAGAGAAAGAGAGAAACATTGATGTGAGAGAGAAACATTGATTGGTTGCCTTCTGTACGTACTCTAACCGGGGATTAAACCCACAACCTATGTATGTGTCCTGACTAGGAATTGAACCTGCAACCTGTTTCATGAACCCACAACCTTTTTGGTGTACAGGGCGACACTCCACCAACTGAGCCTCCAGCCAGGGCTTTACTCCTGTCTTTTTTTTTTTTTTTTTTTTTTAAATATATTTTATTGATTTTTTTACAGAGAGGAAGGGAGAGGGATAGAGAGCTAGAAACATCGATGAGAGAGAAACATCGATCAGCTGCCTCCTGCACACTCCCACTGGGGATGTGCCCGCAACCAAGGTACATGCCCTTGACCGGAATCGAACCCGGGACCTCTCAGTCCGCAGGTCGACGCTCTATCCACTGAGCCAAACCGGTTTGGCTACTCCTGTCTTTAGAAGCATAGTTCAGTCACCATCTCTTTGCCTTCCTTAGGGCCCCACTGCTTTATCGTCCCTGTCTGAGACGAAAATGGAAGCTTGTACCCAGGAGTGACTGTGGTTGATATGATGTACAAAGAAGGTGAGTCCCCAGGAGACTCCCTCCTGCCCTCATTAGCACTTCCTGCCTGCTCCCACCTGCCTGAGGAGAGTGCAGCCCAGCTCTCCCAGACGGTGAGGCAGGAAGACTGACCCTGAGGCCTGGTTAGAGTCCGTACAGGCTAGAGAGCCTCGAGGGGTGCCACTTACACATATGCATTGGTCTCGTTTCCTCCCAGCCTCTGATGCCTATTGAGAAGGCAGCTCTGTCCTGAGCGGTATCGCCCCCTCTCCTTGGACTTGTGAGCTCTCAGGGGCAGGTTGAAGACTCTCTTTCCTGCCCCTGAGCCCCAGCTTCTGGTGCCGGTGCCCACAAGGCCCCTGATATGTCCTAAGCTTGACTCCATAGACTAGTGTTGGAGGCTACAAGTCTGAGATCAGGTGTGGGCAGGGTTGGTTCCTTCTGAGGCCGAGGAAGCGTCTGCTCTAGGCCTCTGTCCTTGACTTATGGTGTCTTCATGTTCACATGATGTTCTCCCATGTGTGTCTGGGTCCAAATTTCCCCTTTTACTAGTATTAAGGACACCAGTCACTAATGGCCTCATTTTGAGTTGTTTACCTCTGTAAAGATCCCATCTCCAAAGAAGGTCTATTCACAGGTGCTGGGGGTTAGAACGCCAACGTATGGATTTGGGGACACACAGTTCAACCAGTAGTACTTGGTGGAGGGGGGCCACTCCTGTGGGCTTTACTAGTCATCCCCAGCCAAGATCAAGCCAAGCCAAGAAACAGATGGGGGAGGACGAAAAAAAAATGAGAGAGAAGAAAGGGCAGGGAAAGAGAGGAGGGAAGAAGGCATGGAAAGAGAGGGGAAGAAGGCATACCTTTGGTGGAGGGGTGGTCTTACTCCTGCCCCTTCAAGTGTTTCAACCACTGAGCACTGGGGACTGCTTGGCCACAGGACTGGGCTGCAGGTGTGTCTGCGAGAGCTTTGCATGTGTCCCACAGGAACCAGGACCAAAGCCCCGGTGGCCCCGCCTCTGACAGCGCCCCCCCTCCCCCGGGTCAGTGTTACTGAGAGCAGGGGCTGGCCCTCGCGAGGTGGGGCAGACACTGAAACACCGCCACCTCAGAAAGCCTGCGTGGTGTCCTGTGAGCTCCCAAATTCAAGTGTGTCCTTGTCCTGGCGATGTTCTAAATGGAGATGTTCTCCCCCCAGACTAAGGCTTCCCAAGGTGGGTGAACAAGTGGGCCCAGCTCCGACATGTCATGAGGAAGTGGGTTGGCAGATTTCAAAAGCCTGCCGATGGTCCGGTTGCCCAGCCACCCACTGCTGTCCTGGTGCTTGTGGCCATCTTCCTTGTCTTTTAGGCATTTGCTTAACGCATTTGCCCATCTGTTGGGATGGAGGCTTCGGGAGGGAGAGGCACCCGTGTTCTGGGGGAGTCAGGGCTTTCCTCCCCGCTCTGTTCTGTCTGACATTCTTTCTGCTGCCTGGAGCGTGCCCTTTCCCATCACAGCAATTGCTCAGACAGGCAGGCGTGGCCCCAGAGACCCCACCCGAGCTCCAGGAAGGCACAGCCATTTCAGGTAACAGCAAAAAGCACCCCCACCCCCAGCCCCCACACAGTGCATCGCACTTCTGGAAAGGGCTTTGCATTTGTGTGGAGCGGGGCCTGGGAGTAGCAGGGCCCGCATTTCTGAGGCTGGCGTTGATTCGCCCTGCAGCTCCATTTCTTTTCTGCTCTCTCTAGGTCCGCCTGGTGTGGATAATGGGATTTTAATATTTGAGGAGGTTCGGATACCAAGGGACAACCTGCTGGATCAGTGAGGTTGTCCTTCTGAGGCCTCCTTACCTCACATCCTGTGTGTGTGATCTCATTGCTTCCAGCCCAGGCCTGGCTCTTGGCCTCCTGGGCTGCAGGTCAGGGCTTTGTTCTCATTACCACTCCTGCTTGGCTGTTGACAACTAACTGGAAAATGCAGATAAACAAACAGGAAAAAATTAAAGTGGTCCGAGATGCTATTACCCTGACATAGTGTGTGTCATACTTTAACGTATAACTTTTTAGACTTTCCTCCATGGTGATACGCCTATCTAAAGAGAGGAATATCTTTGAGATTACTGAATGAGATCCTCTTATGAATTCTTCTGTATAACTTTAATCTCTGCTTCACCTTATATGTCAGATGTTTCTGTGAATAGTAAACACACGTGCCTGGTCATTGTTAACACTGCTGTGAAGGACTGTGAAATAAATGATCTATGACTTATGTACTCAGTCACTATTGTTCGGTAGTTAGGGTGTTAGTGTCTGCTTTGCAAGAGGTAGGACACTACCTTTCCGTGTTGCAGGTGATAAAACGAGCGCTGTGGGGTGGATACTGTCACAGGTGCTCAGGGCCACTGCCCAGCTTCCTGGGGTGCAGCCCAGGTAGTTAAGACAGTGAGGTGAAGGCAGCTTCTCCAGCCGTGGTCCGGGGCTCACAGCGCTCTTCCCAGAGGCTCAGAAACACCAGTTCCTTTCCTCTCCTCGGCAACATTTCCTGTATCCAGTTAAATCCTGGACCACAGCCACATTTAAATGTAAAAAGGCCCGCAGTCAGGCTTGCTCCTGCTTTCCTATGGATTTTCCTTTTGCACTTCATTCCTTTTTGTTGCTTGCAAATTCTTGTCAGTAGATAAATGTCATGGATGCCAAAAGTTTAATAAAAATGTGAGGGAAACAGACTTAAATGGACCCAATTCTGTTTGTTAACCCCCTGCCCACAGCCCTTGAATTGCTTGGACACAACAAAGGCTTCTTTGCAGCTTCCCCTGGTGCAGCCCTCAGGCCCCAGGCACTGCCCGTGCCCATGACTCCAGATGCCTGCACATTTCCTGATCACTATGGCATCACTCCACTGGGAGATGGGGTGGAGGGCAGCAGAGCTACAGGTGTGAGCTCTCCCTATCTCTTCCTCCTACACGGGGCCTCAGTGGCCTGGACAGCCCTCTCCCAGAAGCTGGACCCACTGGCTTAGCATTCATCTAATGCACCAGAGATTAGAAAGTAGGTTAGACCAGAAAGAAAAGTGATAGGAAGCTACCTAGTCCGTAGAAGATAGAAGCATACATGGAATCCTCTTTGGTAAGTAAGATTTGATTTTAAAGCCATTCCATGGACATTTAGGCTTCCTTCGTCCCCCTCCCCCATACATATAGTACAAAACAGCAGCAGCAACACAGATGTTTTGTGGGAGGCATCCCACTTTGGGGGTGCTGGTTTATCCCTTGATCAAAAATTGGGTCAGTAAATAGACAGAATGAAATCACTATCAAAATCGCAGTTGCCTTTTTCTCTGCAGAAATTAAGAAACTGGTCCTAAACTTTGTATGGAAATGTAAGAGACTTAGAATAGTGGTAACAATCTTGATAAAGAAGAACAAAGTTGGTGGACTCACACTTCTGATTTGAAAACGTACTACAAAGCTATAGTAATCAAGACAGTGTGGTACTAGTATGAAGATAAACATACAGATCAGTGGATTAGAATTGATTGAGAGTTCAGAAATAAACCTTTACATTCTGATCAATAGATTTTTAATAAGTGTAAGAGCTAAAACTATAAAACTCTTAGAAGAAAACATAGGTGTAAATCCCGGTGACCTTGATTTAAGCAATGATGTATTATTAGATGTGATACCAAAAGCACAAGCAGTCAAAGAAAAAATAGATAAGTTGGACTTGATCAAAATTAGCAAACTTTTATGCTTAAAAGAAAGACAATTCACAGAATGGGAGAAAATATTTGCAGATTATGTATATCATGAGGCTCTACTATCCAGAATATAAACAGAATTATTACAGACCCACAATGAAAAAGATATATGACCCAATTAAAAAATGGGCAAAAATCTAAATAGGTGCTTCTCCAAAGAAAATATACAAAAGGCCAATAAGCCTATGAAAAGATGCTGAACATCATTGTTGTTAGAGGAATGCTAATGAAATCACATTGAAATACCACTTCACACCCACTGTAGTCTCTCTAATAAAAGAGACAATGATAACAAGTGTTGGCAAGGATTTAGAGAAATCAGAACCCTCATACGTTGCTGGTGGGATGTAAGATGGTTTTGCTGATTTGGAAAAGACTGGCAGTTCTTCAAAACTTTAAAGGTTTCATATGACCCAGCAATTTTACCCCTGGGTACATATGAAAACACTGTCTACAAGGGAATTGAAAACGTCTGTCCACATAAAAACTTGTACACAAATGCTCATAGCATAATTATTCATAACAGCTAAAAACGTAGAAACAACACAAATATCTATAAACTGATGAATGAATAGACAAAATATGGTAGGTCCATACAATGGAATATCATTTTGGCCATAAATAAGAATGAAGTATTTATATACACGCTACAACATACATGGAAATTGAAAACAGCGTGCTAAGTGAAAGAAGCAGACACAAAAGCCACTTGTTGTAGGATTCCATTTACATGAAATGTCCAGAAGAGACAAATGCCTAGAGATAGAAAGTAGATCAAGGTTGCTGGGACCTGAGGGTGCGGAGTATGGTATGGGGCTTCTTTTTGGGGTGATGAAATGTTTTGGAATTAGATAGTGACAATGATTGTACAACTTTGTGAATATACGAAAAACTATTGAATTGCACACTTTAAAAGGGGGCGTTATGGTGTGGATTATATCTCAACAACTCTCCGGGCTTTATGGACGGTGCTCACTCTCAGGCTCTGGTGTTGGGTTGATGATAGCGGTCCTCTCGCCTGTCTTTGTCAGGGCCACTGCCGAGCCCGAAAACCTCCTTTTCCTTGTCAGCATCTCCTGGGGAGGCACCTGCCCTGCTGACTCCTGAGGGAGGTTGCAGGATGTGAGGACATGAGACTTCCTCTGTGGGCAGTGGGGAGCTGCCTGACCTCCTTGCTGGGGGTGCCATGTTCTTCTCTTTTGTTAACCCACCTCTCTTTCCACTGCCTCTCCCCACCACAGGTTTGGGTCTGTGACCCATATGGGCAGTACCATTCCCCTATTAAGAGCAAGAGTGCAAGATTCAACGCGATGCTGCCAGCACTGACCCCTTTGAGATCAGTGGTGACTTTCCAGGCTATCAGCGCCATGAAGGTAGCTGACGCTCAATGAACTTACCTCACTGTGCGTTCTCTGCGTGTCCTGGGTGTGATAATTCCAGGAGCTGAGCTTCCTGAGCCACAGCTGGTGTACGATGGTCGGTCACTAGGTAGAGACCAAGAGTGCCAGTTGGCCACATAGAACATTCCCGCACACTGTAACCACGGGGTCTGCCCGCTCATCTGCAGCCAGCTGTGTGTTGCTGATCACGGTGCGGACACATTGCACTGCGGCAAGAGAGCCACAGAAGGTGTCTCTGGGAGAATGGCTGGTTCGGAACAAGCATGTCTGCTGAAAAGCAGCCCGAGCTGCCCCGTGTAGATGAGGCTGGCAGGACTTGGCTGAGTCCACAGGGCCATTTGGGGTGTGGTATCAGCACTGCAGGCTGGAGTCTGGGAGGTCAGACCCCAAAGGTCTTTTCTGCCTCCCCTTCCCCCACTCTCCATATACTGGT